TATCATGTGACTAGAAAATAGATTACTGTGTTAATTACAAACAGTTATCTGAAAGATTTGAGTGATGTAACAAAAGATTCTGACACATTTATTGATGAAGACAACATGCTCTTTGGAATATGATTTATTTAATCAAACGTGGCCAGCCAGTGTTGTTTCGCAACCATTCTTTATTCATGTCAACATCCCTCAACAGTCTTGCCGTATTTACGTAGCTACCAATCTTTTATCATCACAGAGCAAGTAAATGGGTCCTGCTAAGTGCACGCTCTCTTTCTATCTCATTTATGGCAGGCAATGAATATTATGATGGGTGTCAGAAAAGTGGAGCTGGTGCTAATACGCTGTCATGTGGAGTCATATTGATTGTAGCGAGATAAGAAAAATACGAAAAGTGGCCGAGGGGGTTCAATATATATTCAGCGCTGGCTTTATTGGTCAGAGAGATAGAGAGCACACAGTGACCTGTATTCAGTCAAGTATACTATTGTAATTGCTCCGCGTTTTGTGAAGCCATAACAAAGAAACTTTATTACATTTGCATATGTATTTATATATAAATATATATATATATAGATCAAAACTAAAAAAAGCATATATGCAAGAAATATATATACATCCACTAGTCTATAGCAATGCATCTGATCTCACCTTTTTGACAGGTACAAGACAATTTATCAGATATATCACATAGGTATCATAATATCAATGAGACAACTCTGTAATTGGTTGTCAATTATGTTAATTTCTCGTGGATTAATGAGGTGATTCATCCAGCACCAGTGTCATCAAAACTATTGATACGCTCACGTACAACAGTTAGAGGCTTGGGGATTTTTCATATCAATTTTCACGCACAGTTTAATTGTTTATGAAATACGAGAAGTTGTATTTGCCCATGACTTGGCTGTGTGAGTCATGACTATGTTGTGTGTTTGTTGAATCACCAAGGTCACTGTCATTTTAATAATGTTTGAACTTTGTAGTACTCTAATCAAATAGGCTTGGCAATCAGAGCTGCATGGAGATAATAGACTTTTGCATAACATGCTACATGTATGTAAAATTAAACGGCCCTTCTTATGTATGTTGTATTGTTCTTGAATTTTATTTGGGAGGTGGGACTGGGCTACAAAATTGATTTCTGTCATTCGTAAGTAGTGCATCAAACCTGTGTACATGATAATGTTGTTAATTTCATTTTACAATTTGGCTTTTAACAATGCAAATTTTCCCTCTGCTTCCTGCAGGAATAAAGAAGTTATAGATTTGTTTAACTGGTGTTTAATATTGCAATTTATGAATACCTCCCCTCAACATTTTAAAAGCAGGGAGAATATTGTAGCTGAAAACATTCAATTGTACACATTTCCCTTTTTGCAATGACGACCTTCGTCATTGCCTTGTTTTCGTTCACATTCTGCCCCATTCTGCATTAATATTCTCCTCCTTGTTTTCGTTTTCTTCCTTATCGTCAGGAAATCGCATTCGTTTTGCACGTAGTGCTTGTTATTCCTAGTGAGGTACTTTCCTCATGTCCTTTTCCTTTCAAATTTCATAGGCATAGTCTCTAACATGTCATCAAGGTCACTACATTCTTCGATTCTCGAAATCACTCATGCATAACCGTCCATGCGCCATTTTGTCCGTTTCTGGTCCTTTTTAAGGCCTTTCTGTCTTCCTTCCTATCTCCACTATCCTAGATCCTACACACTTCTAACAAATTCCTCTAAATAGTCTAAGAGATGTTCTTTCATCTGCGACGCATAACCTGCCCTTCAAAATGCCATCTTCGTACTCAAAATTCAAATCTGAAACCGACTCCGTCAAAAAAACTCAAATTCTTGAAAAATGGACCCCTAAATAATCTAAAACTGCCATAACTTTCTCATATAAATTCCGTTTTGTATTTAAATCTCACAATATCTTTATCTCATAATTGCACATAGCGATGCCAAATTTCACGCTCCAATGGCTTTGCACAACATAAATAGCGCCCTCTAAAGTTCTGGGAATTGGCTTTCTCTCTGTGGCCCTATCTCAATAATGGCTTGGCAAACCCGTACCCTTTTTTGGATTTAGATACTTGAAGATATGCCCTTTCCAGCCATATACAAAATTATATACCCTATTACTGACCAAATTTGAGAAAATTGCCCTCCAAATTCGCCATTTTCAAGAAAATTGAGAAATAACTTCAACTTGCTCTAAACCGGCGATCTTTATACCTACATCAATGAAACTTGGCAGACACATGTATCCATATACGTGACAACTGTCTGCTAAGCTTAGTAAATTGTAATGCCCTCTTCGCAAAGTTATCGCCAAAAATGATGAATTTACTATGCTTTACGTAATAGCGCGTTTGATGCGTGCAGTACGTTTTGCGCAGATGACAATGGTTTCAAACTGACCGCACTAAAGTGCCCTTTTGAATGATACCAAGTATGGTATATGTTCACGCAGAAAATTGTAAGTAAATCGCATTTGAACAAGGGTCACTATACGAATTCCGCCGGGTTTCCGCCCTATTATAGCACGTTTCGGCCATGACGTCATTTTTTAAGACTTTCATTCGGTTGTGTTAGTATGGGCGGCCGTTCGTGCCAAAGCACGCGTCGCAACATGTTCATCATGCACCAAGTCCTATTGGTTTTGCACGCAGTGCTTGCGAGCCCTTTCTAGATCCCTTCCTCTACTCCAATTCCCTTCAAAATGCGTAGGCGTAGTCTCTAGCATTCCTTCAAGGTCACTAAATTCTTCGTTCTCCGGAAACCCTCATGCGTGACCGTCCAGGCACCATTTTTTCCGTTTCGGGCCGTTTTGGTGACCTTTCTTTCGCCCTAACTATCTCCACTATCACAGAAGCTACAGACTTCTTACATAGTGCTCTGGATAGTCCGAGAGTAGCTCCTTCGTTTGACACGTAGAAACATGGCGTCATTGCACGCACATCGTTGTGACACGATTGCATTTCTAGTTTGATCTTATTATTGATAGAATCAACCACTGAATTTCATCTGATATATAGCCTAACACACGGAATACTAAACTTGCTATGTACATCTCTACATCGGGCTACATTATGAACAATAATACTCTAGAAAGGCTAGAGACCAAGAAAAGCAAGACACTTGTTGTTCTACAGTGAATCTATTAGTAGCATCAGACTGAATATATTCTTGAGACAGTGCTGAAAATAAGAGGATATTGCAACATTAGCTTTAATCCTGATTATTCATATCGTTTTACAAATTGTGGATTTGAGAGGAACTGATCAATTTTAGCCTTGGTGTAAGAAGAGACCCTATGTCCGGTGTTATTAACATCAATTACACATGGATCCTAACTGTTTGTCTGATTACGTGCTTATGAACCTCATTAGGAGTGTTAAATGACAACAGGCCAGGGCATGAACTTGCATGCTAAATACAGCTGTATTCATTATCTAGTACAAACTATTATTTATACACTTGTAGCAAACATTGTTGAACAACAGATGTCATTAGTATTTTATTAACACTTGAAGCTATGTCTTAAAGGCTTGTTAATACATCAATCATACTGCCAAAAAGACTCCACATAATTCTTGGCTATTTGGCCAGGCTGTTGTTGGCCATGTGTTGGTGCGATCAAGGTATTATCCTCTTTTAATCTGGAATGAATACTGAAAAACAAATAGCAAATGGATGAAGATATGTAAAAAGTCCTGTTTGGACATATCCACGATAAGGGTATAGGAGTGGCAAGGACTATAAGATGAAAGTTAAACCTGATAACCTGAAGCTGTGTTATCATTTTTATTTGTTATTCTTTCATTCGTTTTTGTCAGATTGAGAATGCTGAATGTATACATTTCATACTCTTTACATCTATAGCTGCAGAAAGACAACAGTTATAAATAATGCTACCTTTCCCAAACATCCTGTATTTACAGAAACCCTGTGAATAAAAGTACCGTGGGCTTTTATACTTGCTTTATTTGTCATAGTGAAGTATTTACCAACCTGTCTCAGCATAGACAAGATGCGACTTGTGCTAGTCATGTGTTCCAGACTCCTAAGGGAAAAAACAACCGCCTTACACAACAAGAGGCCCACGTAACTCCCTATATTTGCCAAGACACTTAGAAATTCATGAATGCAACCAGCTAGAAAATACAATTTTCCCATCAAGGACACCTTACGAGGTGGAAGGCGGATACATGAGATGAAAAGCTTGAGTGAGAAGAAGAGTTTGAATGAGTTTTCTGAGGTTTGGGAAGAAAAAAGGGGAAGAAAAAATGGCCAGACGACACCTGCTGGTTCTAAATCGGGATGTATTGATCATTTGCATTGTCATCTACCTTTTTATTTATCACTAAGATTTATTTGTCGTGAATGGGGATGCTTTTTTTTTTAGACACAGGCAAGTTATTGGATATGATCTTGGTTGAGGTAAAGCCAGTCAGTGTTTCAAAGCAAAGTTCTTGTTTGCTTTCATCCTTTCCTTACTGATGGGAAATCTTATTTAATACCATACATGTATTCAATTGTTTGCAGCAATACTGTGATACCATAGATTTTTGTGTACATGAAACTTGATGAATATTATGAATGGTCCAGATTTATGAAAGATCAGTGCCACAAAATGATTGATCTCCAACACTGAATATTACATTATCTATAAAATGGTTATCACTGACAATACGCAAAACTTTCAGGCTGCAAAACATATTGGTTTAACAGTATTCAGATTCAGTGTAAAGAGTTTGCCAATTATGCAAAACATCATTACAGTTTAGAGTAATTTCATATAAAGTGTTTTGAACACCTCCAAGGTAATATTTTTTGTTCTGAAAGTGTTACAAATGCCTTTATAATTGAGGTGTTATCAATAATTTCAGTTGAATTTTAACCTTTGCTGAATGTCTGCTTATCAGCCCCAAGGGAATATCTTTCATTCTGAAGAAAGGTATTAGAGTATCTTGTTGCTATGATACACAAACAAATAACCAACACCTTGCTTATTCATTCCACAGATCGGTCGGTGGACATGGACAACGAGAGCGACGACGACGACGACTCGTATTCGTCTGACCAGGAGAACAGCGACAGCGGTGAGAACATGGTGGGAGGCCAGGTGAGATCCCAGCTGCATGCCCACCAGCTCCCCTGGAACGTGAGTCTTGTCTAAAAACACCCTGCCCTCACTGCAGTGTGAATGAACGCTTTAACTATATTGTTGCTATATCAGGCATTTGCTCCTGCGACGATTGCTCCCGGCCTTAATTTCATCAAAAGATAGAGGGTTGGGGTTAGGGTTGCAATTGGGTTTCTGGGCCCCGTCTTATATACAAAGAGTTGCGATTGATCCAAATAAATTGCAAATACTCTGATCAATTGCAAGTTTGCAGTCTCCTATCTCTTCTGTACATAGTTGCGATTGATATCAATTGCAATTAAGTTGTGATTAATATCAGCTCTTTATAAGTCGGGGTCCAGGTTAGGTTTGGGGTACAGATTAGGGTGAGGGTATAGTACATGAGATATAGTATTCTATCCAGGGTTAGATGTAAGAATGGTTATTAATGTGGAGCAATTGTCGCAAGAGCATCTGTCCTAAAACCCTAATATTTTTCACTGGCTCAGTGCAGAGAGGATACAGTAGGCTTTATAATAGAGCAAATTGCTTACTTTCTGCATCACAAATAAAAGTGGGATTGCAGAGGGGCTAGATCTTGATCAAAAGATGATGATAGTGATTTATTACATCTGATTGCTAAGAAAGCAAGTATTTTGAAATCAGAATGTTGCGGAAGAGATTAATTTACTACACCTAATTTGAAATTCAAAAGAGGTTTCATGCTGGGAAATGTCCCTGGTTCCTGTAGGTACATGGTTGGATGATTCCATTTCTAACAACCAGTGGACATATTAACATTTGGATTAATTCCTTACCAAAACGGCTCCATCGCATTGACTGGGCTTTGAACCAAGGGCACCCTGATTACAGGACCACTGCTCAACCACTGTGCCACCAGGCCTTCCTATTTATCCTACATTCCTCTACTTGGCCCAAGTGATTACCCGTAATTTCAATATCATCTATACTACAGCCATTTATTGTCAGTGGCAGTAATGCCCTTTTTGCACTGAGCCGATGTTTTTACCCAGCCTTGCTTTATCATGGGTCTTGCAGTTAAGAAAATTAAAAGAAATTCAGTCTTCATAGAAAAAGGACCTTTCATGCTCCCCCCACTGAAGGAGCATGCAGAATCAAGACCAAACCGAACAGAATGCAAGACATAAGTCAACCAATTATACATTATTTGATTGATTTTCATAACAGTTTAGCTCAAAACATGAAAGTTGAAATTCTTTTTCCATTCATGAAATTGAGAGTGTCTTTAAAAAGGTATTCAAAACTTGGCCACATCCTATACACTTTCAATAGCATTGTGTTTGTAACATTTCTTGAATTTTATCTTTTTTTAAAAATAACTGCAAGAACCTTATAATAACCCATAAATGCCCATGAAGCTTGAAGTGTGTGCCCTAGGAACACATTTGTTTCACATAGTGTGAAATAAATACAAGAAGAAACAAGATAGAAACTAGAAAACCAGTCCTCAAAAATTCCCAACAAAGCAAGTAATCCCTTGTGTTGTTGTTGTTTGATGTGCTTTTGAAAAGTGCACCAAGTGTTGCTGTGTTTTCTAGCCTGTGCATTTGTTGTTTTCAGAGTGATATTATGTTTGTCTCTGTAAACCATACAAGGCTTTTTTTTATGCAAGCAAATTTGTATGTAAAAAAATAAAAACATGGGTAGATTGACCAAGATAATTAAAAAAAAAAAAATGATAATAATAACAAATAACAATACAAAATTGGATATGAAAACATTTTCAATTTTAACAGGGCATGGAGTAAATTTTTGTATTCACATTTTAAAAACAAGCAGCTAAAGTATTATTATTATTGGAAAAAAAGTTAATGCCAATTTGAAAATTTAATACTCCAATGCTTGTTTTTCTCATGAATGTTCTACCGGTAATCTGAAGAACAGCATTTTGCACTGCATCAGAAATTGACTTGACTTTCACAGTGATTTTTTTTTCTTTTTCCATTCATGAATGCAATCAGTTTGATAAAGAATTAAATTCCCAAAACTTCCCTTTTGGGGGACTAGTTTAAAAAAAAACAACACCAATCCAATCTGAAAAATTGCATCATTATGGGCATTTATGGGTTTGGATTTTTTTTAGTTGTTGGTCTGCCTTGTAATCTGATTAATAGATTGTTGTGACAATAATTATGTTATAAATGTCTAGAAATCCATAGCAGCATAACTTTGTTGACTTTTAGTTTAATATTATCTTGACAGCTTTGTATCAGATAGTGAAATATCAAATCCCTGTCTGTATCATTGTGTGGTTTTATTTTCTCTCTAATTCGTGATTTGATATGAATATCTAGTATAGCTCAGTATTTGCTGTGCTGATGTGGAGCTTTTGATATTTGATGTAATTACATCACATTTTGTTGATGTCGGATTCTTATGCCACCCCTAGAAAAAAAAAATATGATAGAACCCAATCCCCAATTTTGTTTCCCACTTGTGTTCGTGCAACTAGTGAACCTTTCAGAAAAGACTGTCCCATGTTGTAGTGTGACATTTGAAATTAAAGTTGTTATGATACCGAGCAGCCTTCATGGGAATCTACTTTAGAATAACATAGCAACCACATCCAGCAGGATGATAAAAAATATATCCTGCTGCATAGAATCGGATGCTTATCATTTGAAATTCTATATGTGGTATGTTTTTTTAGAGTTTTGTTTGATAGAAACCTTTTAATTAGTTTTCATGAAATAGTAATTTATCTCCTATTTTAGTACCTCAGTTTGATAAATATAACATAGCAACCACATCCAGTGGGGAAAAATATACCATTGTATAGAATTGGATGCTTATCATTTAAAATTCTATATTTTGTATGTTTTTTAAAGATTTTTTTTAATAAAAAAGGCAAGAATATTGGGGAATTTTTTCATTAGTTTTCATTAAATAGTAATTTATCTCCTATTTTAGTACCTCAGTTTGATCTATTCATATACCCAATTTCTCAATATCAGTCAATATTTTTTTTAGAAAAGTCGGATCACAATAGATAAAAAATTTCTGTATTTTGTTTGTCGGTTACATGAAGATCATTTCAAGAGTTGGTAACTCAAAATTTGCTTTTCACTAGTTTAAATTTTACAAATGATTTTACAAACAGAAATACTCATATATACTCATTTATTTCATTTACAAGATGTATTTTGTTTTCTCCATTGAAATATATTTCAACCACTCTGTTTCATTCAAAAAATGTAAAATTGAGAATCATGTTTTTAATGCATTCCTCCTCCATGTGTATTCCTTCAGCAATATTGACAAAAGTGGACATTTTTGTATAAAATGTAATAAATAGGCCTATTTATAAAATGAAGTGTGACTCCCAATTCAAATCATTCATACATTTGTCGATTTGTGCAATACTCTTCAAGATTTCAAATTTATGCTTCTTTTATTTTTCTACTTTGACCCCAATCGACTCGATGTCAGCACAGACCTACCCCTTAAATACTCCTACTTTTAACACTGAGTGTATACTATTCATAGCTCAGAATCACTCTGTCGTACATACATACATAGGCTCCGGCGCTCCCACTGAATTCATACATGTTATAATATAATCTAGTTTGTTGATCAATACAGGAAATTTTAGATTAGATTAAAGTGCACCTGAGTAAATTTATCTGGGGCGAATCTACCACTCGCTCTTATTTTTGTCTGAAAATAACATTTCAATCTTAGTGTTATTTCAACATGAAATGTCTCTCTACATGTGTAAAAATTTCTAGTATAGATGCACCAACATTTTCACTTTTTATTCTTATTCAACAAAGTATTTCCCCTTTTCTTTGTTAGGTTAAAAAAAATACTTGAAATACTCATACTTTCTATGTTTTTATGTGATGCATAAAGAAACAGCGTCTCTATGCATCTCGGATTCTCCTGATTTCCTCTTACTTTAGGTCTATCCATCCATCCAGATTATTAAATAAGCATCTTCCCGGTCCCTACGACATGTATTTGGGAATTTCTCTCTAAAAGCATGTCGCACGAGACGAGCGCATTGTGAGCTAAAGTGAATATTGCCAATATTTTCCCCGGGGTCGTGCAAATTATTCTTGAAGTAATCGCATTACGGGGCCTCACCACCCTCTCTGTGTTGTATATTCGTCGTTTGGTCGTGCACCGTTACGTGACTTCTAACTGACCCATTCCTTCCTGTTTTGACAGGCTGGACAGTGGCCTGTAATGGATGGCGGTCAGTGCTAGTGGACATTACACTGGCGGGGTCAAGGAATTTAACACATGTGCATCCATAATAGATTTAGATATTGATATTGGTGTTCTGCTAGCTGTCTCCACACTCTGTCCTAATCTCTTTCATATATGATTAAATGTCTGGTTATTTTTTATGTAAATATAGAAATAAGTAAAAATGTTTTGTAGAATAATAATTTGCAGCGGATAATGTGAAGTCAAACCTCTTTTTATTCTGTGATCCACTATCTTATTATTATATTTATGTGCTTTTGATAGCCACATTTTTTGTTCTTTTTAGTGAGCATTGACATTGTTTCTAATCACATTTACCAATAGACCCTATGCTAGTAGAGCCTGTATTTTGAACAGTCAACACAGTTATCTTTCTGATATTCATTTCTGCAATCACAGGAAAACAAAAACCCACTCCTGCTGGCAATAAGGCTAATAACGTTTCCATGTTCAAGGGGATAGCATCTGATGAGAGCCAGAAGGGAGTTAACTCTGTGTAAAAGCATGAGCTAATGCCCCTCTAGCTCTAAGCTGACAAGATATTAAATCTCTTCAGGGTCGCAATCAGATGAATTTTGGCCTTCTGTCACGTTCATATCCCAAGCTCATATTCCGGTCTATTTCAGTTCCATTCCATTCACTTATATCCCCATTCATTGTCATATGACATATAGCAGCACATGGCTTAACATATTAATTGATAATTATCTTTGGTAGCTACATAATACATGTTGTACAGTTTTTCTCTCATTACCACAGGCAGAATATTGGATACATAGGCATTA